CATATATATATATATATATATATATATATATATATGTATGTATATAAACACTGAATATTTGGGTAATATGTCTAGGATACACAATGAATTTGGGTGACTTATTGCTTAAACCAGTGCAGAGGAGATTAATAAGGAGTAAGTAAGTCACTGAAACGTCTCACAGTCAACAGGTGGATTTAACGCATTAGTGACAAGTTTTGCTTGAGCGATTGCTCTAGCTCTCCTCATTTATGATGATAAATGCAATGTCTCTGAAATGTTTGAGAATGTGTCCGATCAAATTTCACGTACAGAAAGAAGCTTCCCGTAAGCATCCGAACTGCAGGAACATGGTCAAACCGAATATTTTGCCCTATCACTTTGCACAGTCATGTGATGACAGAAGTTGAAAACCTCGATTGCCACTTAGTAAATGTAGCCGATATTCAGAGCCAACGAACTCAAAAAAATGTCTTACACATCAAGCTTGAATTATTCCATTTTTAATTACTAACCTTACTATAAATCAATTATTGTTCATGCAATAATTAGCCAGAATGTTTATGTTTTTCTATCTATAACTTATTTTGTGCCTCGGATTGATTACTTGCCTACATTCTCCAATGGTACTAGATCTTAATTCAGTGAATATTATTTATAACCTTTATTTTGAATGTCTCTTAGGATAGAAAATTATTTATTTGTCTATTGGACCTGCATTTGTATATTAGTATATTCTATTATATGAGTTATATTGTTCCAATAAAATACATCTGGTTCATTTTCAAGTCACTGGATGTGAATCAACGGTATTTGGATCCGATGTAATTGGTGACTCGATTAGAATGGCTTCGTACAGCGGCCTCAGCACCAATGAGCAAAAAAGCAAAGCTTGGCGACACAGCGTATGTCATCCACTATCATTTCCACTACCCAGTTATACCACCATTCAACCAGCCGGATCCTGCCGACAGATTTGTGCTGACCTCCCGCCAGAAGAGGCTTCTCTTACTGCTTCCTTCTTTAGTACTGGCTCCAGAGGCTCCATACTTACCTCCAGCCGAATAGGGCTTCCATTCAGCTTGAAGACAGCAGGCGACATTGAGGCACCAAAGCCCTCTTCTCTTCGGAACCTTGTCTGTGGTATTAGGACATCGCTGGCTCCAAGAACATCTCAAGTGATAGAGACCGCAACTGACAGTTGGCCAATAGTGACGTGCTTACCAATTCCTAACTCTGATGAGATTGTGGCTGCACAGGACTCGTTTTTGAAGACTAGATCTAATATATGTACAAATAGGAATGAAGCACAAATTAACGCCCTATGCGACGACTTGAATGCACCTAACAAAGGGCCAAGAACAGATGCAGAATCTGCATCCGGTGGGGGCTACAGATTTAATGATGTAGATACCGAGAGAAACAGATGGGTTCACCTACGGCCTTACAACTGTCGGTCTCATTCTTTAAAGCCCTATTCTTCTCATACCAAGGAAGCTATTAGCGGGTGGCGTTTAAGCACTGGAGAGCTTAAAGCAGCCACGAAGAAAGCTAATCAACAGCAATGCTACAGTTTAGAGCCCACAAGTCATAAGTATCCGAAGAATGCAGTATTCTCATCGAATTTAAAAAATTCTGGAACTAATGCTAACTTAGGTAGGCTAAAACTATTGAACTCTAATTTTATTTATTTGCGATACATGAGTGTAGATTTGAGATACTTTCTTAGAGCCACC